CTGAATTCCTTGACATTTCCCAGCAGTCACTGAAAATGACAACCATTTGTACACTGTCTTAGATCCTTTCTCCTGTTTGTGTGTGCCTGCATCTATGTGAATGCAGGACTCTTTGAACTCATGGTCTGGAAAACTCACTATAAACATACTTCTACTTTCATTGCAGCAACTTGAGATTTATTATTTAAACCCATTTATCTTCACTACTTCAAATTTTTGATATTTTGTCATCATATTGTAACCCAAATAAAATATATCTCTTTCAACAGACAAAGCAGCCAATAACTTTGTGTGAAATTCATTCATTCAACTGAGCCAGTTGACAGATTGGAAGAAATACTGCCCCTGTGTTTTTTGGGACATATGGCAAAGCTCAGTAAATCTAGAATCAGGTTTTAATATTATATCTGAAGTAGAAAAAAAACACCTATCACAAACATAGTGTGTAAAGTATGGCTCAGTCATAATGGTCTTCAAGATAAGCACCTGTATCACACTCCATGTAGCTGTTAACAACAATGATCAGTGTACATCTCTTCATATTAAGAATCATAGAATTTACTGGTTGGAATGGACCTTACAGATCATCTGGTCCCAACCCCCTGCCGTGGGCAGGGACACCTCCTCACTAGATCAGGTTGCTCAAGGCTCATCCAGCCTGGCCTTGAACACTGCCAGGGTTGGGGCAGCCACCACATCCCTGGGCAACCTGTGCCAGTGTCTCACTGTACAGAGGCACATAAATGGTAATCAGTTATGTCCAAGTATCACTGCTGGGCATAAATGTCTAACTCCTGCATATGTAAGTAAGAAGTTTGAGGATTGGAACTAAACCCCAGATTTCCATTAAAGAACATATCAAAGTACATTTAATCTATATCCTAATGGTGTGTCAAGGATTGATGTGCACTACATTAAGGAAACATGCAATAAGCATTCTATGGAAATTGGGAATGAGCCACCTCTGCCTAAATTTTACACCCAGTCCCTTTGCTTTCTACTTTGCAGCAGCCTTCATGTCAGGATTACTTCAGATCTTAAGATTCCTGGACGATGACACCTTCTCAGATGCACAAAGTGGCACAAGATGAACTACTTGTTTACATCCTGTAGGGTTCTGCATCTTGGTTGGGTTGGTAGATAAAAATCAACCCCATTTCATATGTTTTGTGACATCCTTTACTGCTGTAAATTCTTTGCACTTCTGCATTTCAAGATGTGCTCACCGCAATAATTCCTAGTAACTGTGCCCTTTTTTTCAGCATAACAAAAGAGAACAAGTTGAGAACAGAGCTCACCTCAATTTCTTGATAGGAACTGTTGATCATAGCAATCAGCATGTTGAGCAAAACTACCACCATTGTTACATTGTATATGCCATAAAGAACATAACCAATGTTCTCTATGAACTTATGGTCATATTTGAGGACAACAGAGGTAACTTCAGACAAGCCAAATATTGACCAAAATAAGGTCTTGAAACTTTCTTCCACACTGCAGGGAGAAAGAAAAGAAGGCATTATTACTAACTAAACAAATAAATATGTAAGTTGTGCTTACAGTGCCTGATGAACAGTCTCAATTAATTTGTCTGTGAATCAGGTTTGTGGAGCAGTGATCAAAACAACAAACATGCAAGGAAGCATTTTTCACTGTACATTAATTTCTCTGTGCTCCACCTATCCACCATAGCTAATATAGTTCTAACAATAGATGCACAACAACAATCCAGCAATCACAAAGGTATTTTATATCTAAGTTTTGAGATGAAGCATATTCTCATCTCATTATTTTTCAGTCTAATTCTGCAGGGGCAGATCATCCCAGCCTTAATAAAGCTAAAAATGGGGCTAATGGGAGTGAAACTGCTGCTCTCCTTTCAAGAGCTTCTGGTTAAACCTTCCATTAGGTCATACAGAAGATATCAGCAATATTTTATTGCAATTGGTTGCCCACAAGTGTGATTAAAATAATGTAAAGGTAAAATTATTTTAGGCTGCAATGAAAAATTCCATTACACACGCAGAAAACAACTGGTGTTTTGTACTCTAATTCTAAGGCTCTGAGACATGTGCTTTCCTTCTGACTTCAGCTGTCTTCAGCTTTATTTTAATGCTAGGAGAGTGTGTCACAGACTTTTTGTCACCTTAGTGAAAAACCTCCAAGTTCTCATATTGGCTTTTTCCTTAGAACCAACCCTGACACTTACGTGGTAAAGGCTGGGTTTAGCTTAGCTCCAAGGTAGTAGGAATAGAGGATGAACATTCCAATCATAAACGCAAGAAATACCATAATAAAAAGGACCATAAACTTGAAGATGTCCTTAACAGTCCTTCCAAGTGAAATCTGCAAGGGCCCAAAACTCTCGTTTGCAGGCAGGATATACGCGATCCGAGAAAAGCTGAGAACGACAGCGATGGCATAAAGGCCTTCAGATATGATCTGAGGATCAGATGGGAGCCATTTATCTCTAGCTGGAAGACAGGAAACACAGGGGTAAATATAGGGAGTTATTCATTTATCACAATGCTGAAAAATAAAACCTGATAGGATTTTTCCATTAACATGTCTGAATTCAATTGAGACAAATATTGGAAGAGGCTAATAGTTGCTACTCTATTCCCATTTCATTCAAGTCACAAATGATGAACAAAAGTTACATTACCTTATGCTGGTGGAAAAGTGACTTGAAGAAACATGACATTTTCTTCTACAGCTTTCATTTCAACCTGGACTGTATGACAATACCTAATTGCTTGTTGCTTTTCTTACCACACCTGCATTATGAGGTACTTTAATAAGCACCATGATGAGCCAGAAATTTATTCCCCTTTGGGGCTTTATTGATGGGAAGTGAACAGTGTTGGTTGATGAGCCATTTCATTCATTAACCACTCCAAGCTTTTGCTACTGTTACAAGTTCAGATTGTAACTCAGTTCCCGTAGCAATCATAAAGGTTTTTGCCAATTACCTCAAAAGAAATAGGATCATGGGTTTCACACAAAATGTGCACAGCAACAATCAAGTTAGAGATAAAGCATAAAGCTGTTTATTATATGGATTAACCTTAGCAGAAAAACACTGAATCAAGATGTGTTTTGTGTCAAAACACCATGTGTATTTACATATGCACAAATTCAGATTGATTATAGTGCACTTAATAAATAACAAACCCAAGTCTGCTATTGTAATATACTGAAGTTCATAAAGCATATACTAAAACACATGCTCAGCAACAAATACAACCTTTGCTGGTGCTGCAAACAGAGATTCATCACACCTCTAATGACAATTTCTGTACTGCAATAAGTATTTATTACTTCTATTTGAGCAGATCTTTGCAGGGCCAACATCCTTCCTTCAGGAGGAAATACCAATACATGTTTACAAATGTGAATAACAGTATCAAACAACTGAACCACAAAAAACCCCATTAGCATCAATATTTTATCTGTTGTGCAATAAGCCAAGAATGAAATATAACCTGCAAATGTTAAATTCAAGGGGATCAAATTTAGCTCTAGGATAAAGAGTTGCAGCAAAACTATGGACAGCTACATTTGAACTGATTTTTTTCTTATGCCTATTACTTGGTTTTCAATATTAACAAGCTTATTTGTCAAGTTAGCATCAGAAAACTATTGTTTAAATAGCATAGAAACAAAAATATTGAGGCACAAGAGGTTAGACAATGTCATGAACATAAACAAATGCAAATATTCATCTTCAAGCTTCTAAATATTAGTGTCTCCTTCCAGTTTTTCTCTGCACAGATCTGTTCTGCAGAAAAGTTCAACTCACCATAAGTAAAATACTCTATTTCTGGAGGCAGTGTGACCTCAGAGAGGTCATTCTCCTCGATGTAGTTGTCCACATACTGTTGTGCTTTCTTTAATGCCAGAAGCCTTGCTGTGAAGGCAGCAATGAAGATGGACAGCATCCCAAAATCCAAAACATTCCACAGCTGCAGAATGTATTCCCTGGGTCCTTCCAGCCACAGCTCTTTGCATTCTGACCACATCATACCTGCAACAAGAAAATAAAAAGCACAGCAATGTTTGCCAAACTCTTTTCATTTAAATTCTCCACCTTCTCCCATTTCATGGCTGATACCAGTGAAGCAAAAATTCACTTATTTGCAGTGTCACAGTATCATTGTCCACCTTGAGTCTTTCTTGGTTTCAACAGGGTTGATCAAATAGCAAGGTGTTAATTAATGGGGATAAAGCTCAGGCATCTCCACATAGGATAGCACAGAGCCATGACTTGGGAGTGAAATTATTATGGCCTAACAACGTAACTTACCTGCTTCTAGAGGAGGAAAAATGTTAAATGTGGAAAAAAATCCTCTTACTTACTTAACATTTGCATTCATAAACCACTTCTGAAGCAGGAGGATTTATTTTTACAGAGGGGCACAATGACCCTGCTACACAGATGACCAATTATAAAGGGCACAATTATACTACTGGTTCTCCACTTTTGAGAGTAAGATAATTTTCAGCATAGAAAGTACAATTTGGCAATGTGTAATTCAGTTTTCTGATTCAAAGAGCTCCTCAGAAATTCATTTACATGCGTTCAATCCAGATCATGGCCTCATCACAACCTTGAGATGTAGTTGTTGGGAGACTTTTTCTTACTTTAAAAAATTTTTCTTAGGGGAGAAAAAACCCAACAAACAGCAAAAACACACCACCACAGCTATTTTTCTTGTTTCCCTGGCTGGATAATTGAGAGGAGGTACTGCTGCCATCCCAAACACAAGCAGAACAGTCACACACTGGATTGGCTTAAGGCTGGTTGTCTGTGAGTGCCCAAGAAATTTCCACAGTGACTGATCCTAAAGACCACCAAAATATCAGTCCTTTGTCAAACAGAGAGGCTAGTCAGTACATGGTGCTCTTCTCTGGACCTGCTCCAGCACCTCAATGTCCCTCCTGAACTGAGGGACCCAGAACTGAGCACAGGATTCAAGGTGTGGCCTCACCAGCACAGAGTCCAGGGGAAGAATAACTTCCCTGGAGTACAGGGGAAGATACAGGTGATTCAAAAGGCAGTTCTACTGCATTGTTACCTTCTCTAAGTGTTTATTCTAACCATGCAGCAGCTGGAGCAAAGGTTTGGGACCTGGACTTTTCTCTTTACTTTTAGAATTTACACCTGCAGGAAAACAGTTGATATAAAGATGGAGAGGCAATATACCTACCAAGTACCCACACCATGATGAGCATTTCTGTCCAGGTGAACTGGGTGGTCTTCACCCTAAAGATCTGCTTAGGGTAATCAGTAACAGTGACATTGGGTAGCGTTGTTATGCCCTCAAATCTGTCTGAAGCATTGAAGACCAGCAGGCCTAGGAAAATAATGAAGGATGCTGCATGTGCCACAAATTTCATAAATGGGCTTCGAAGAATTCTTCCAAGCTGCAAAGGCAGAATGAAAGCACTCAGTTTTCTCACAGAAACAACAGGCATTCCAGTAGCATAAATGGAGCTCAGGACAGTCCAAAACCTTATTTTTAAGGGATACTCTTTCCAGGGCACTGAACTGTGATGCTTTAGCATTTCAGACAAAAGCCTCTCATAGGGAGCCTCACTGGATATGTTGTCCTGTTAGTGAGTGTTCATGTTATTCCATAAACTCTAGATGGCAATGTTTGAGGGGAAACACTCCAAGGAATTACAAATGCACAATGGCAATGACCAGAAAGAGTTTGCAAAGCAAGCCCAGGGAAAGATAAATTATTAAAACCTTCAAGTAGCAAAATGTTTTCCCTACCAACAAGAGTGTACTATTAGCTTGTGTGTGACTATAGCTCTAGGAAAAATTAGCTGCCTTCTCATGTCTGCCTACTGTATCCCATCCACAGAACATATGTTCAGAGCTCTAAGTGCCAAGTAAGTACCTGTGTCTACTAAAAATAATGACTGTTTCACACAATGTAATAATAATATAATCAGTATTTCCATTTTCATATAAATGGAAATACTGATTGCACCAGGTGCAAGAGCAGCACAGCAACAGCAGAGGAGTCTGTCCTCACCAGAAGAGAGGACCAGCTGCCTCCAGTGGACCACACGAGCTTTCTCATTTCAAGGAATGGTTTCCCTGAAATTTGGGACAGCTACTATGAACTGAGCAGACCAAAACACACTACACTGCACTTACTACCTGTGCAAACAACCTCAGGTTCCCTTCCTGCTCCTGACCTTTAGAAAGCATTTTGCAATTGCAGTATCAAACAACTGACCTGGATGTATAGCACTTTTATTTGACATGTGCACTAAGGAAAACGTCAGATGTTTCTGGTACTGGGAATTAAAGCTCAAGGACAAATGTCACTTTTTCATATTAGACACCAGCTAAAAATATAGTAATATGTTTCTATGATATGGAGCTGGGAGCGAGGAACATCTTTTGTAAATATACTTGTGAAAAGTGACATTTCAGAGAATAATGAGAGCAACAATTACATTATTTTCATAAGGGTTTTTCTTTCAAGTAAATAAACATTTAACCCAGAGAAAAGATCAGGTTCCTTTCAAATATGCAGGTGATGAGCAAAATCTCCTTTTTGAGACAAATTACAAGAGTGAAATATAAATGAAACTCATATAAATGAAACTCATATGTCTTTGCTGTATACTTGTTAAGGAAATCAAATTGAAAGATCACATTCAGCACAGAAGTAAATTTGCTTATAATTTTTTAGAAGTTAATCTAACAGAAATTTTCCTTCATCTGGTTTACCCAAGATCTATCAATATACTTCACTGCAAAAAATTCACATGCTACAGACTACCATGATTTCAAAGAAACTGCTGTTACTTTCATTAGGAGACCAAGAGCAAAGCTGGAAACAGCCTCACATTTACACATAGCTTAAAAAAGGTAAGAGTTTAGTTATGCTTTTTTACAGATAGACCCACAACAGGCTTGGAATCCTGTGTTTAATTGAATTTCTGCTCTATGGTTCAGCTGGTAAACAGACCTCCTAAGGCAGGAATAACAAATATTTTACTTAAGATTAAGTTCTGCATCAGTGAAGTCAACAGATGTTCTGCTAATGGTTTGTATGGGAACAGCATGAGACCTTAAGATGCCTTCAGAGGAGACTTAATAAAGAATCTGAGAGGTGACTTGCACGAAATCCACATCACTAATACAAATATAATTACATAGAGACTGTGAGGTGAGCACAATCTAGAGAAATTTAAAAAAGAAAGCTCTCAGAGGAGGCGATTTTTCCTTCTTTAAACTTAACACCAATATTCATGCTTCATCACTGTGGTCCCATCTTTGTACAAATCAAACAAAACAGCATCTTTTGGCTCAAGATAAGAGACTGCTAAAAATATCACTAATCAGTTAAAATTTGGAAGCAGCAGAACTAGAGGTACAATATTGACTGCCAGAAATTGAAAAGCAGCTCCCAGAACAGTACAAGATACATAATTTACAAAATTCAGTACCCTGCTACATGGTGCAATCCAATAACCAATGGCTAGGAATGGAAGGCCCAATGCCACAACCAGCACCACCAGACACTTGATAGCTATGGTCTGCTCCCGTAGTCCTGAGAGGTTTTCATACCAGATAGTCAGTAGCTGTTGCTGACAGTTTGGATGTGCCACAAACTGCAAAGAAAAAGAATGAAAACCAAGACATGTCATCATTAAGAAGACGACTTATATAACTGCCGCATACACGATCACCTTATATACCTGATGTTAATTTAGACCTTAAGAATGACATTTTTTTCTCATTTCCTTTAAAGCAAAGGTTAATAAATAAAGAATAAACTGCTGAGTTGATTTTAAGCAACATTTTGGGGGAAGGGTGCAGCTGTGGACAGCCATCCCTGAGAGAAGCCTCAAAATTAACAGAAGAGCTTCATATACCCAACTGGATCCTGCCAGAAAGAAACCTCCATCATAACTCTCAACAAATCAAGCTGATCCAAGGCACATGCAGAGTCATTTCTGGTGAAGTCCAGTTGCAAAGTGTTACCATACTCATCATTACTATTACATTATGCCCTCTGAGGCTGTCACTTCACAAGAGCGTGTGGGAGATCAGTGAGGCACAAGGGTAACACCCTGGTTATCAGAGCAGTTTGAAGAAAACTGGTAATATACTTGCCTCATTGGTTGAAAATAACTAGTACACTGGAGCAAAAGGATGGTAGGTGTTTCACAAAAAGGATTTGAAAATAAATCTGGTAACTCTGATACTTCATGTTGGATTAAGAGTGAGATTTGAGATGAGCTGGTTATATTTTGGAAAAAAATACTGTAAACCTTGGCTACCCATTTTATTATCTTTTGTACTCTGCTGAGATCATTATGTACTATATACACTGTTGTTTGCCAGGTCTTGCCTGCAAAACTCCATTAATATTCCAAATCTCATTAAAAAGTGCACAGAGTGGTACAACAGGGCAGACGACTTAGAGGGAATCAAATTAAATCACTGGCAATGAAAACAGGGAACCTTAAAACTCTCAGGAAGAAGAATCTGAAGCTGTTGTATGAACTTTAAAGAATGAAGATTGCTTCCCTTTTTAATCTACTTTGCTCTAAAATTGAAGTCTCTGAGCATCTTGGTGTGTGATTCATTAACCAGTTAGTCCACATATTAATGCAGTTTGTACCTAGAGTGAAATGGCCAATAGAAATAAATAAAAAGACTGTAAAAGTCTTTCCAGAAATTAATGTCAACTCAAACTATGATACTATCCTTTTTATTAGCCTGTCACCTCAGAAGCTTATGCACCATAAAACCTGCCAGCCTGGCCCATTTGAAAAGCAGAGATTGGTTTTTGTGTATTTGTGCATTCTGACATATGCCCCCAGTCCCTTCTCTCACTAAGATAAATTTCATTGTCAGGACATCAAAGGGACAAATCCCACAGCAGATTAACTGTGGACAATGGCAGGAAAGTCAATAATTATTTCAAATTACAAAGACATTTTTAAAATCAGGCTTAAAACTGTAGGGAACAAGAGAGGAGAAACACCCACATCATTCCTTCTGTTACCAGAGGGAATGGGAAGGAAGAGTAAAGGAGCTTTCAGGGAGCTTGTTGATGGCTGTGAATCAGCCCACGAGCCCTCTGGCATCTCCTCCAGAGCTGAGTGCTGGTTTATTCCTCCTGCTCTATCAACATTTTGCTCTGATGCTAAGAGGAGATCTGCCTGGCTGTAATTTTCTGCAGAAAAGGGAAGATTTAGTGAATAAGTTGCCAAGGGTTATGGGCAAGATCTTTTCTGGCAGTAAGTCTAAGGGCTCTTGAGAAGATCATAGCAACTTATTTAACTGTTGGCAACTGCAGCATGTGCACCACTTCCAAGCCCTCGGAGCAAGTCATGTCATTTCTCATCCACGGAAGCTCTGAAATTCATCCTTCTTCCCTTGGTCTCTACTGAAATATTTCAATTTATGATCATGTTAATTTTATTTTCAGCAACTGTGAACTCTTCTATGTCCACTCGTGTGTGTGTGTGTGTGTGTTTTACCTGTCTCCCCACCAGCTTCATCTCCTCCAAGGACAGTAGGTTCACATCACAATTCACCTACTGCTCACATCATCCTACAACGCTGTTCCTCCTGCATTTCTCTTCTCCCATTCTACTTTCCATGCAGCTTCTTACATTTCATTACATGTGTTGATACTATCATCATATTGATCTTATAGTTTTGGATCCAATTCAAACCACAGTGAACAAAAAAAAGATGGACGAGGACAGTATCTGGGACTAAAAACAATAAAAATCCCAATTTTAATGTAGCTGCTTTTCTGAGCATAATTGACTGTAACATTTCTGATGTTTTCAGTTTCATGACCATGAACCAAATTATCAGTATGTAAATATTTTTCTGTATGACTAAGAATGATCATAATGTTATTTATTCGTACCATCCTAATGACTGAGTTTAGATGTAGCAAGAGCAGATCCTGGCAGACTCTGATATACAAGCACAGAGAATTTTCTTTTTTCCTTATCTGTTGATTCAAAATTTCAGTGTCCAAAATTAAATCCTGTGATTTGATTCCCACTCTTATTGATTTCACTTGGAAATTCCATTCTAATTTTTTCTCAGCAAGAACTGCAGAACTTGGCCCAGTGTCAGCTCTTGTCTGAAAGTTTGCTGGCAATCTACAGACAGAGTTGAGACACAAAACTAGAAGCACTGCTGCAGCAGCAATTCTGCACACAGAGTGAGACTACTTGTTTTAACTCATCTTTTTCTTTTTTTTCTCCCCTTAGTCTTTCACTATTGGAGCTGCAGTTTCAGTCTGAACCTCAGCTTCAAAATCATATCATGTTTAAAAGATGGGCTGCACTTGGATGCAGTACCCTGGGTATTAAGTGCAAGAGTTTCATTACTAATAGAATTAAAAACTTCATTTCCCTAACGGTGAACTTCTGATCATATTTGCTCACTTGTCATATGCTTTTCCTGCTTCTCCTCCCCCTGAACAGGGCATATGCCTCATTAACTATTTCATGCACCTGCACTTCTGCTTGGCTGTACTGTTTGAACAGGGAACTGACCTTAATGGAGCTGACCCAGAGGCACAGCTAGAAATACAGAAAGCTGAGAAGCATAAGCCACATCCTCATCTGCATCCTACAGTTAGGGGGTTGAAATAATTGCAGGTGGAGTTTCCACATCTGCATCTCTTCTAGTCAGAATATCACTATAATCTGTTACAGCCGTGACAGAGCCAATCCCAGCATCAAAGGATCTCCATGGCAGAGACATTTCCCGGCTCAATCCTTGTCATGCCCTCTGCAGTGGCCACATCCAGGGAACAGCACATGTATGAACATGCTAACAACTCTGCACCATCTATTTCCTTCCTCTAAGATCATTAGTCTTGTAGGTTCTGAACTGTATTTGCCATGAATCAGAGCCAACACTCGTAGTTTATCTCTTCCAAGAGAAGAGAACAAGTTTGCTATGTAGAATTGTCTTACGTAGATTTTTGTGATTCTTAACAGATGTGTGGCTTTTTGCTCAGCAATGTATTTCATCAGTGACAACGAGCTCTTAAAAGAAAACCACAGTCTTCAGCAAGAAAGCTGAGACATGATTCTCAAAGGCTTGGTACACATTAAAATGCTATAGCATAAAGAAGTGATATGATATTTAGACATTATAACATGGTTATGCACCTTGATTTTTTCTTCCCTGTTCCATTCTTTTTCATTAATTTAATGCTTGTATATATTTGCCTTTAATTTTGGTAATGAATATGCATTTATCTTCTGCAGACCCATTCTATACTGAAAAGGATGCTTTGCTGTTTGGGATCCTGTTTACAAGTTTAGTTAGCAATCTTTTGGGACATCATCAACACCAGCATTTCCCAGCTGTTCTGGCAAGATGCTTACAGTTGGTTTTATATGGCAGATTGGCTCGAGAGGAGGCCACAGAATACAGGGTTATTTGTTCTCAGAGACATGAGGCTTCTTGGGGAGGTGATAAAACTCTAATGGCTGTAAAGAATGGAAATTATGCTAACCATGTAAATAGGTAGCTGTAAATAATACATAGGCACTGCTGTATTTCCTGAGTACTCTCACAGTAGGGCACAGTATTAACCATTTTCTGTGCTAGGGATCTTGAAGAGAGCAACAAAGCAGTTTTCAATGGATCAATCATTCCAACTAATGGATATGCATTTTGTCAAATGTGGGATACACAGCTCCATTTTTCAGCACATAACATTCACTCACAAAATAACTGTTCATTAAAAACTACTTTGAGAGAGGCATCAACTGAAAACTCATTGTACTTTCCAAAGCACTGATAAACTCAGGTGCAAAGATGAAGGACAGAAATGAACTTATTAACCAGCCACAGACATATTCCATTTGTTTTCAGGGCTGAATTTGAAAGCATTTTTAAAGGAACATAGTAAATCATGTACAATTTCTCACTACAACACACAGTTGCAGATGAGCTGTTTGATTTAGTGTCATATTTTAAAATTCATCAAAAAAGTATATACTTAATGATAACTTAATGTTCTCCTTTTTTTTTTGTTGAAGTAGTAAAGGGAAGACCTTTCTTTAAAGAAAACCAAACCAAACAAGCAAAAAAACCCCAAACCACCATGTGTTGATAGGAACACTATTAGAATGCTGCAAGACTTCCCAGAATTTTCTTGCTCAATTGAGTTACTTAAGGTAGGAAGTAGAAGTAACAAAAAGAAAGCAATAACAGACCAGATACTTTTATTGGTTGAAAACAACACTTTGACCAACACAGCCTTCTCTTAGGATTAGGTATTATTACACCTAATAGGAAGGCATATCCTTACCATAGGAACACTATTAGAATGCTGCAAGACTTCCCAGAATTTTCTTGCTCAATTGAGTTACTTAAGGTAGGAAGTAGAAGTAACAAAAAGAAAGCAATAACAGACCAGATACTTTTATTGGTTGAAAACAACACTTTGACCAACACAGCCTTCTCTTAGGATTAGGTATTATTACACCTAATAGGAAGGCATATCCTTACCTGAGTGA